TGATACGTATCTTGTTAAAACGAGATACGTATCACGTTTTAACGAGATACGTATCACGTTTTAACGAGATACTATCACGTTAACGTGATACGTATCTTGTTAAAACGAGATACGTATCACGTTTTAACGAGATACGTATCACGTTTTAACGAGATACTATCACGTTAACGTGATACGTATCTTGTTAAAACGAGATACGTATCACGTTTTAACGAGATACGTATCACGTTTTAACGAGATACTATCACGTTAACGTGATACGTATCTTGTTAAAACGAGATACGTATCACGTTTTAACGAGATACGTATCACGTTTTAACGAGATACTATCACGTTAAAACGTGATACGTATCACGTTTTAACAAGATACTATCACGTTTTAACAAGATACTATCACGTTTTAACAAGATACTATCACGTTTTAACAAGATACGTATCACGTTATAACGTGATAGCGCTCGGATTTTTTTTTCCCTGCGTGATAGCAATACGCTTCCGTATCATTCTGAGTGTCGTAAAATGTGTTAGGCAGAACTTTGAGCAGTGGAAAAGTGGAAATAGTAAAAATTGTACTCACATGATCCCACCAGCACTCCGAAAAGTTTGGTAACTGATGTTCAAGGCTGTACTCCAGGAACTCAAACATGACGCTGATGATCATACACATCCACCAGTCACGAATCATCAGAGTCTGAGGGAGAGGAGAATAAAGTTTGTAAAAGTTAAAGTACTGTATTTATTTGTGTATAATGTGCAAAAATTTTTACAAAAAAAAAGGCCATTAAGTTGGAAAGTTGTTTTGTAAACAGACGTAAAATTTGACCAATTTTTTCCTAATGTACTACCACAAAAAATTTATTTTCACTTATGTAACTAAATATTTGTTGCGATGATAAATCATAATTTTTTCACCTTCTGTCCTTCCTCTGTATGTCCCACATAGGTAATCACATAGACCAGGGGTTCTTAACCTTTTTGACCTCGGGGCCCAATTTGTTGAGCATAAAGTGGCACGAGGCCCAGTCAGACTTTACCAATGTATGGCTCAAAATGATAATTATTCTAAATCTCTATTTAATTTGTATTGTATTTGCATTATAACTAAATTAAATACACTTACATTTTAAAAGTAAAACTCCTGCTTTCTTGATGGGTTACTGAAGGCATGGGTGGGGGGGGAGTTGTGAGAGGGTAGCTGTGTCCTGACATGTGACAGGAGGAGGAGGAGTAAAGCAAAGCAAAGCAAACCTTCATTTTTGTTTCTACTTTTCATTTAAAATAGGTTTCCATTCTCAGCAGGTTTCTAAGTTTCTTCTTCTACGTATTAAAAAAGTTGTTAAACATCTGAGTGGCGCACTACTGCTACTAGTGGTGAGAAAGTGTATTGCAGCTTATTTAAAATCAACGCGGTCCCACGGCCCTCTGTGGCCCAAAGTTAAAAACTGCTTTTCTTTTGAGGCCCTCAAGGTGGCGCTCGCGGCCCACAATTGGGCCCATGGGTTAAGAATCTCTGATATAGACAACATTTGTTTGTTTTTTCACAATGGAGCCCAAGGAGGGAAAAAATATTTTTATTTTGTTAACCACAGCATGGAGAGGAGAAGACGACATGGAAGTCATGCTCAGCAGGACCAGACGAGCAGCTCTTTGAAGCTGCCATCTTGCTAATTTAACAACCTGCTTCTGCTGTTGGACTGGACCAGTTTTCAGAAACAAGAAGATCAGGCTGCTCCCCGGCAGCCACAAGCACACCCACAGGTGTTTGTACATAAAATAATCTGTTTCCCCACCAGAAGATACACATCTGGTGGCTATAAAATTCTGTATGCAATTAGGAGTATCATTATTAGATTTTTTTGCTTTTTAAGTTAAAAAAAGTCTACCCACAAATTTGTTAGTACTGCTTGAGAATGTTGTAAAACAAGAGATAAAATCTTCATACTGATCATTGCTGTAGTTTACATCTTAAAGGGATCCCCGATTAGTTGTAACATTAGACGTTATTTGATAAACATATATTTTAACTGTAAAATAAAGACTGTAAAAATATTGTAGGCTGTTTAGTTTTTATAATTTTTAAACCAAAAGTTTAAATATATATTACATGGAGGGGGCCATTTTATTTACATGCAAAGCATTCTGGGTAAATGATGATGTCAACTAGGTCATCAGTGCGAGACTGCTAGCGAGCTATATCCACCCTGAAGGTTAATCTTGGACAATATCTGATGATC